ATTTTGTGATATCTTCAAATTTATATTTTATTCAAAAATAAAAACATTAACGTTTTCTCAAAGTTACATAAAACCGTATTGTAACATCGACAAATGACAGAATAAAATGAACATTAAAATCGAAATGTATCTTATTGAATTGCAAGAATAGCCTCCTAGTCTATACTACATTAATAAGCATTTAGACCAAAATTCTTAATTACAAGTCTCAAAGCATAAAGTATTATCAATTTATGCAAGAGATTCAAAAATCTTTTAAGTACAAACTATTATGCATAATGTACAAATGCTTAAAACACATCATTTGTTTGGTCAAAGTTTCAGATTTAAATAAACCATATTTACATGAAAAATATATGTTTGGTCTTCCCAAAATTGTTTGACACTTTGTTTGTTTCCTATTTTGAACCCAAATTCAAACTCAAAGTTCTTCTTTCTCTTGAAGTAAACTGAAATTTGAAGCAATAATGTCAGAAAGGGTTTTAGATCCTGCATGTACCCCACCCCAACCCTTCAACTTTATATGGGTTTAGAAACTCAACATATATGTAATTATTTTTCCAATCGATCTTACTAATACACTATATTAGTCTTCAACTTTATATATTAGTTGACTTGTAAAATAACCACATAAACTCATGATTCAAAGCTAAATTAATGTTTCAAAATTATGATTCACTCGTGCTGCATCGTGCAGGTACACCACTAGTTAATAAATAATGATATAATAACTCTTGCATGTGGCCAATAAGCGGTTTGGTGCTTACTTTATTATTAACTAGTGTGGGAACCGTGCGGTTGCACGATAACATGAATACTTTGGTTAATGATCGAAAGATTGTCTATATAAATATATGTTAGTTGTTAATATAATCATCAAGAAATGGTATTCAATAATTCAAAAAAGTTAATAAAATCTAATTAGTGAAATTTTAATATATATATATATATAGGGACAAGATCAAATGTTAACCAAATTTTTTGTGTTAACTTTGCAAACCATGTCAACCAATCACAATCCATTCTTCTATTAGGTTTTTTTCATGTTCACAATTTAATGCCAAAGATAATTGAGTAATTTCATTTGCTATGTAACTCCCATACCATTAAATGGGAGTTACAAAATCATAAAATCTCTAAAAATATGCATTTATAATATTGATATTTTTATTTATTTTTTAATCTTGATCTTCCATTTTTGTTGTTTTATGAGTTTTTGATTCATGGAGGAAACACGGTAGTAAAATCTTCGGTATCGTTCAAGCTATTTGTTGGTCCCGTAAGGGTCTACAAGAAGAGAAACAATTTGTAGAAGGAGGAGATGAATACAAACACAATATTTTCAAATTTAAAATATATATTGATAGAGAAGATCAATACATATTTTACAAGATTGTTTGCGGAAAGATAAGGTAATAAAAACCTATCCAAACAATCTTTGGTTACACACAAAAACTTTAGCAATTACAAGAAAAGAAGTTGCTAAAAAAATATCATTTACTTAAGTTAGAAGATGCTTGAAGTAAGAATTAGGTTAGAGAGAGWKATGCGCTCTCTGCATGGAGAAGAAACACTTMTATTTATACCCAGTGCATTAAATGTCCATTTAATGCAATATGGTAGGTTTAGAGTGCGTGTCAAGCCTTAAGAGGAAGGCTTGTCATTTGCTACAGTAAATAGTACAAAGCACTATTCATGAGCAGACATTCTTACCTAAAGTTGGTGGATAAAGAGTCGACTAGTCGGCTCCGTATCGTACTATCTTTCGTAAGGGTATGGGTTTTGTCCTTTGTGTGCATAAGGACAAGACAACAACAATCGTGCTAAGCAAGCTTCCTTTGATCGCTGAATGYTGGAATGACCTGAAGKTCTCATCATCATTCGYTGAAGCTTGAGCAGTCTTCACACATATGTAGACARRCTTGTAATCACTGAATACCGYTTCAGATCACGTACTCGCCGGTCTCTAATCTTCAGTTTCAGTCTTCGACGTTTGYTGAAGGTTCTTTGGTGTGAGTGTTGTCTTCTTGAAGTATTGTTGTCTCTGATAGATTTACAATGCAAGTTCTTCAGTGATCATTGAACATACTCAGTGAAGATCGCTGGAACTGAAAATACAGAACCATAAATAGAACGTATAGATGAAAAGGGATTATCATCAAATCACTGAGAGAGAGAGAATCAACACTATTATGGATAAACGCATTGGAAAAAAAATCGACAACGTTGAGAAGATTAAAATGGTTTATGGTGACAATCGGAGTTCGAGTTCAGGAAGTGAAGAAATTAACCAAAGTGAATGTCTTGGTAATGGATTAATATTTTATTAGACTCGTTTTAATCGAAATTATGTTCATTATGATGTGTTGTGTTTTTCATAGTTCATATTGCGTTGATAATTTTTTTCTTTAATTATTAATACGTACATAATTCACATGTTCAATGGAAATACATGCACGACTCATTTTCATATTGTCATATATACCGACTTTTATGAATCATGAACCATTGTGTTCACGTTACTTCTATCATATGGACACAAATGTTATTTTTTAAGCTTGATACCAAATCTTTATATTTGTGTAAGTGTTTGCACCCGGTGTTCATAGCGTCGGGGTTATGTGTTCATATATTTTGTACGATATGAACAAGGGGTGTACAACCACATAAGACCGGAAACATATATGAACAAGGGATGAATCTTAAACGGTGTGGATGCAATGCATGTATAAAACTCAAATTGACAAATGATCGCTCGCTCCTGAATGTGTTTATAATAAAAAAACTTTTGTTCACAAGTTGTTCATATTGTGTTCATACCTGTTTTTTTATTTATTTCCTTTCGTATAACAGTTATTCTTATTATGTTCATATTGTGTTCATAAATGCTATGCAGTCCAAGTTCATATATATATATATATATATGTCAATTTTTTGTTCGTATTTGACACAATGGTTCATATATATATAGTTGTGTTCATATGGTTCTTATATTAACAAAAATAAATTAACAAAAATCATAGAATTTATTAATTTTGTAACTCCCAATTAATGATATGGGAGTTGCATTAAAAACTTTACCTAAATACCCTTTTCAACTTTGTTCACTTATCTTTATGAAATTTTAAATTTAAAAAAAATAAGTTTTTATCATGATTAATCACAACCGTTTATTGAAAGATTGAATGACCAAGATCGGTTAACAAAGTTAACACAAAAACTTTGGTTAACATTTGAATCTGACCCTACACACACACACACACACACATATATATATATATATATAGAGAGAGAGAGATATTTGTTTAAAAACAAAATTGTAAAATTAAATAAAATGAGTAATAATAACGACGAGGTGTGGATAATTTATACGTTGTTTGTCTGATTGATGATGGAGTTTTTTTCTTTATAAAAAGAGGATGATACCTTTGTCGATTTTTATTAAAAAATAAATAAGTACGTCTAAATCACACGGTAATTAATTATATGTACAAAATATATGGTAAATAGAAACTTAGTCTATAAATAGTACGAAAAGATATTAACCGATCATTAATAAATATAAATTACTATAGAAAATAATTCATTGTATAAGACGAATGATGTCTACAAATAAAGAAAACAAATACTTTCTATGTCCCAAAATAAGTGTCCTTTTTTTTATTTTAGTTTGTCTCAAAGTAAGTGTTCACTATCAAAAAATAATGTCTATTTCCAACTCTACTGTCTTAACTATGAGATAGAGAATTCATTAATCTCTCAATAATGATAGATAGAATTGTTATTAAGTTAATTAAAAAGTGTAATTATAAAATTGTGGATATGTATTTTGAGACTTAAACAACTTCATAAAAAAAATATTATATAAAACAATTTCATAAATTTTTTTAATAAAATTAATCAATGAAATCAACGGATAAAAGTGGTTTATAAGTCGAAAAGAGATTTTTTTGAGTCTCTTGTACTCGTTTATACGTCGAGCAATTTGCAATTTATCGTCTCTCTCTCTCTCTCTCTCTCTATATATATATATATATATATATATA